TCCTAGAAAAGGGGGCAAAAAATTAGCTGAAAGATCGTTCGCCCACCTTGCTCCGTCAGTTTGGAACTCTCTTTCCCAACTCTTGAGACCAGGTATAGAATCGGAATTCTTAAAGGATATTGAGTTCAGAACACCTCTTGGATTACCCACATACACGCGGGCGGACATTCAGCTCTAAGTCCGAGAGGTATGAAGATTCACGAGACAAAGATGGGTTGTTGCACTCAACCAAGCTCTCATCAGCAACGCTCTGTTCCTATAGATAAGACATCGGAAAAACGAGCCCAGGATCAAGTCCACAGAGTTGTGGAGATCCAAACTGTTGAGGAAGATGGAGGGCTGTCACAAGCCAGGAGGCCCAGAATCACTTTCCTCTTGTTAACTCATTTAGTTTTGGTAAGAGTTTCACGGCCCTTGCAACACAATAACGCCATACACGTGCCGAGGATTAGACGTGTTTCAGGAGAGATCAGAGCGACAGACGTTTGTGGGAAAAAAGGATCAAACCACACTAGAGCACCGGCCAACCTCCCATTGGTTAACTCGAAAGAAAAAAACCCAGTCAAAACTTTAAAGCTAAAGTTGCCATTGAGCACTGCAGGCTGAGCTGAGAAACAGCAATTACAATCAACGTCTGGAGCACTTTGGTTTGAAGAGAAGCAAAGCAAACTCCACAGAACAAAAGGTGAAAAGCCACGGGAAAAAACTTAGAAAAAGACAGAGACTCCTTAAAGATAGTAGAAATCACGTGGACATTCTGTCCTGGGCACTCTGAAGTGAAAGGCAATGAGGAGGCTGATAGGCTGGCAGGCAGTGCCGTGGTTGATGGTGAGGTGAAATTTGACAAAGGAGAAGTGTTGAAGACCATGGAGAAAAAGTTGCGGGATGAAGAAGACAGGGAGACAGCAGAGCACCACCCAATCATTAGGATGCGGGAAATGGGGGTAGAGAGGGGAGAAGGAAGAACGGAACGATTATCTGGAAAGGAAAGACGTCGTCATAATCAGACAGCCACCGGAACAATCTAAATAATGTCAACACTCTTTGTGACTTGACGGGGACTTTAATAATCAAGCACAATGAAGACATACGTCAGACGATGCATGACTGGG